GGTTTCAGAACTTCTTTCCTCCCTACAACCATTTCATCAGCTGGGAAGAAGTTCAACTACCTGAGATGATAGTTGTGATCAAATACCCAACAAAAGCAGATCCAGGAAGGAGGAGCTTCTTTTGGCTTACAGTTTGAAGGCACAGTCCTTCATGGAGGTGGGAGCTTGAGGCAGCTGGTCACATTGTGCTGCCAGGAAAGAGAGAGAGGTGAACGCTGCTTGCTTTCTCCCTTGTATGTGGTCTGTGACCCCAGCCCATGGAATGGCACTACCCACACTTAAAAAGTGGGTTTTCCCACATGAATTCATCCAGTAAAGAAACCCCCTCACAGGTATGCCCAAGGAATTGTCTCCCAGGTCATTCTAGATCCTGTCAGACAATATTCATTACTACAGCATCTTCACTGAGGGGCCAGCAATGCTCATGCATTGTATATTAAAAGAAGAGCACTCAAATGCCTAAGGCAGGAGAAATGTTGTGAGCTTGAGACCAGTCTCAGCTATAAACTCTCTCTAAAAACAAAATAGATAAATAAACAGAAGTAATTATTTCACTGTCCACTGCCATCGATGTACTAAGGGTCTGGTAGTTATCCTGTGTCATCCATTATTTTCACCTCCACTTAATGAGAATGCATAAGAAGCTAGGAGATTGCACCCAAGCCAGGGAGCTGGTGATGCTCCAGGTGGGCTCGGGGATGAACTCACTGTCCAGGGAGGATTGCTTGGAGAACTGTCCATGCCCTTGGAGCATCTGTTAAACTTAATGTCACTGTGACAAAGTACCTAAGAAAGCCAGCTAAGGAAGGATAGACTCACTTGGTCTCATAGCTCAGAAGTTTCAGACCACTGACAGGTGGATCCATTGCTTTGGGCTAAAATAGTGAGTTACTCCATGAGCAAAGACATACTGGCACCCTCACATATTCTGTCTCACACCCATGTTTCTGTGTGTACAACAAGTGGTACTTGGGGAAGCCCACTGCTTCTGTAATCTCAGCTTTAGGTGAGAAATGAAAGATGAACATGAAAACACCTTGACTGAGAAGAGGACGGTTTTCCTCTCACTTTGTGAAGAATGGCACAAAGGAACTAAGGATCATTTTATCCCCTTCATCTGTGGTCCTGTAGGGGAGACACTAAGAGAAGCCATGGGTTCTCTGTTGAGCATCTCAGGATGGCCCAGGAGGTGATGGAGCCACAAACATCCTGGGACATACAGGATGTGACATACAAGCAGCAGCAGGTGTGTTAGGTAGACTTTCTGTATGGAGTCAGAACATGCTTCCAAGCACATTTGCACAGGAACACACAGGATTGAGAGCATGTCTCCACTGCTTCCTGGCTGAGGATTACAGAGCCCCCAAATCCTCCCTTTCTCATCAGAAAGTCAGAAAGGATAATGCTGCCCTCCTGCAGCTATTTAGAAGGCTCAATGAGATCAAAATACCTAACAGCCAGCCAAATACCTAGCATATAGCCAGGAGCTTCCTGCCCTGTTTGCCGCCTCTTCAAACTCTGCACCTGTCTTTAGCAGATCTCCAGTAAAATCACACCTCTTCTCAAAAGCCCTCCTTGCCTCCTTTTGCTAAGAAGCACTTGCAATCTGACTTGGCCCTTGGGTCCATGTGCATTGAAGCTCCCATGTCCCGTGTTGGAATATCTGCTGTCCTGAACATAGCCACACTGAGCGATAAGTGTATGTGTTTGCCATTTTTTCTCCTCCCGCACTTTTACACCCTTACTTGGAGAACCCCATCCAATCCCCACTCTGTATCCCTGGGGCAAGACTGAACGTCCTCAGCACATGCTCTATTAAGTCCTTTCTGGTTTGTCAGCCAAGGAGATCCTTCCATCTTGCCTTTGCCTATGGTTTATCTATATGCCTTATGAAACTGTTGGAACATCATAGTTTTGTGGCCAAATCTTGTTTTCCTTGCCTGTAAAGTTTCTGAAGTCAGGTTTTTGTCCTCAGTGTATCCACCCAGAATCAGACTCATCATATGAATAAGTGAAGGATGAATGAATGAATGCCATCATTTCCTAACTACACTCCCCTTCAATGGAGTATTAAAACTTTTCAGCCATCCATATGTGCTGGTTGATTTCTGTCAACTTGATACAAATCTGACATACCTGGGAAGAGAGACTCTTATTTGTAAAAACACTCCTCAACACTGGCCTCAAGGCAAGTCTGTGGAGTGTAGTTCTGATTATTGATTGGTGCGAGAGGGTGCAGGTCAGTCACCCCTGGGAAGGTGGGCCTGGGTTATTTACGGAAACAGGATAAACAGGCCATGAGGATCAATCCAGGAAGTAGCATTCCTCCTTAGTCATTGCCTCAGTTCCTGCCTCCAGGTTCCTTCCTTGCCTTGCCTTCCTCCATGACAGATAACAAATGGTAAACTGAAACAAACCCTTTTCTCCCCAAGTTGCTTTGGTCTCCATGCTTATCACAGAAATAGCAAGCAAACTAGGACACCATGAATATTTTGGTTTTATGAACAGTTATTGTGACACTGTCATGCTTGCTAGAGGTTGTGTGAAAGGGAAGGAATGCTGGGCTGGAAACTGAAAACAAATGACTAAAGGGGTGGTTCTCCCTGAGGCCTCAGCCATGATGAAGGCAGAAAAGGAACAGACATGGCAGCCCTGCAGTTTCTTCCAGGTGGGGAGCCAAGGTGCGCAGCTTTGGCCTGCAGCCTTCAGGGGCTAAGTGGAATCTTAAAAGCCGGACAAGTGTTCAGTCACACATCATCCATCCAGATCAGTGGATGTGACTAGGACCCCACAGGATCCTTGGGAACAAACCCAACAGATCTAGATCCTAAAAGCCACAAATGATTTGGGATAGATCCAGACACAGATACAGGGCATGTTTAACCTCACCCATGGGTGGAGCAGAACAAGGCAGGTTCCTGCTCTCTTTGAAGCCCCAGGGGATGATATTCTCATGAATAAGGCCTTGTAAATAGGAATTAAGTCTTTGCACGTTAGTTTTGTAAATTTAACACATTAAGTCATCTAGGAAGATGGAACCTCAATTGAGGAACCACTGCCACTAGGTTAGGTGACGAGCAAGTCTGTGGGGCAATTTCCTAATTGAGGTAGGGTGGCCTAGCCCACTGTGATCAATGCTGGGTCAGAAAGCAGGTTGAGAAAGCTTCGATGGCTTCTGCTTCAGTTACTGTTTCCAGGTTCCTGGCCTGAGTTCGTGTCTTGGCTTCCCTGAGTGTTAGATTATATAAGCTGTAAGATGAGATCTTTTTTTTTCTTTCCAAGTTGCTTTCAGTCATGGTGGCTGTCACAGCAATAGAAAGCAAGGACAAAGTCCCAGATCCATTTGAGAGGCATAGAATGAGCGCCATACCCTAACTTAGTATTATAGCTTTTATCTTCTTCATGGGTATGTGCTTTTAGTGTGTGTGTGTGTGTGTGTGTGTGTGTGTGTGTGTGTGTGTGTGTGTATGAGAGAGAGAAATAGAGAGAGACAGACAGACAGAGAGAGAGAGAGAGAGAGAGTTCATGTGTTCCTGTGTGATGATGTTCATATGTGTACAGGTAAACAAATGCACGTGTGAGTGAAGGTCAGAGGTCAGCCTTGGGTGTTGCTTCTTCAACTGCTTTCCACTTTTTTGTTTGAGTCAGGTTCTCTCTCTTACAGGCCTGGAACTTCTCAGACAAGTTAGCTAGGCTAGTTAGCAGTCAGCTTCCAGGGATTCACCTGATGCTGCCTCCCTTCCCACCACAGCTAGGATTGCAACTACTTGCTGCCAGGCCTGGTTTTGTAAACAGATTCTAGGGATCCAAACTTAGGTCTCAAACTGAATCATCTCCCCAGCCTTGTATTTTGTTTTAGAGGAACCTTTTTAGTTTTTATCCAGACTCTTTCTCTCTACTCTGCAGTAGTTCATGAGGTCAGTAGAGCTTGACCCTGGGGTGGGGGCGGGAGGGCCCGCATTTGGGCACATCCTGGAAATGTTCCTGCCTACTAGCTACTCTCTGCTTAGAATAATTAGAATTTACAGTAAAGAAACATCTGAGACATAGGGAGAGTTGGCAAATTTTCACACTTACAAGATTTTTGTTTTTAATGGGAATTGCTAGTAATTCCTCACCTTATAAGAGACAATAATGACTTCTTAGCAGGGTTCCTAAGTATATTTGGCAAATATGTATTCAGGGAACTTCTCAAATAATGGCTTGAGAACAAAACTCAGATACATTAAGTGCCTTGACACCCAGGTCTTTGCCTGCAGGATCTTTATGCATAGAGCGTTTGGAAGTGTCTGTTATGTTGCAGGGATCTGCAGCTTTTGAGGATCCGTGTTCAGTTCCTTTTGTTGCAATCACCAGAGGCAAATTAATTAAAACCTTTTAGCCCCTCCCTACCTTTCTTTCAAATGGGAAGGAATTTCTTGGATTCATTTGACAAATACTTATTGTATAAGGATACTAGTGGTACTGATTAATCAGATTCGTAGTTGTTGAATTCTAGGCCAAAAATGTTCACATGTTGCCCAGTTCAGAGTTTTCTCCTTTCCAATGAAGAAGTTGAGGCTGAAAAAGGGAAAGTGATTTGACAGAGGTTGCCATAGCAAGAGGACCAGAGCAGAGTTTTAATGGGAGAACCCCTACCCAAGTGACTCTGAGACTCTATATGGTACATCTTAGTGAAGCAGGTCCGCTTCCTAAGCCAGATGCCGAGACTCAGAGAGCCAAGGTGCTTGCTTCATTTATTTTCCTGGCATGCCATTGATAGGACTGCTGCAAGGCTTCAGGCCCATGCTGTGTGCCTTGCACCATGGAAAGTCTATGGAGATGACCTTTTTGTTCAAGGCCTTCAGGTTTTAGAACTCCACTTGCTTTGCTTCATGACCATTGCACCCCATGTTTCCAATTAACATACATTTGCAAAGGATGCTGGGGAGAGGAAGGTGAGAAAGCACTGGGAACCAATCATGCTGTTACTTAATCTACTCTCTCTGCTTCCTCAACAGAGAACACACGGCCCTGTCCTCAAGGATCCGATGGCCTTGGAGAGGGGGCTACACGGCCTGTGGACACAAACTCTTCCCAAAGTGCTGACATGGAGCCAGGTCAGTCCCTGTCATCTCTGATTTTCTGTCATCAACTACGAGCCTGAGGCTTAGTGAAAAGGCATTTTAGTATCTGGAAATGCATATACTTTTCAGGATGTATAGGACATGCAGGAGATTGAGTGATGGTGCAGTGAACTTCTTAATAAGAGAACAAGAGGCAAAGGCTCCTGGGAGCTGTAGTGCCTGTCTTAATAAGAGAACAAGAGGCAAAGGCTGCTGGGAGCTGTAGTGCCTGTCTTAATAAGAGGACAGGAGGCAAAGGCTGATTGGACTTGTAATGCCTGTTATATTTGCCTGGTGAGGAGATGGTAGAACTACAGCTGGATTGGTGTCCCTGGGATCCTCCTCAAGCAGCACGGCATGGTGAAGAGGGCAGTGTAAGTGGGTTTGGGCATCTAACAGTATTGCGACGGTGTGCTGGCCGCAAGTAGGTACTAGTCAGGACCATCCAAGACAACAAAAGCTATGGTGGATTGGCGTTCGTTCTCACATGCAGGATACCAGGGTACAAGTCCTGGAGCTCATAGGCATGGTTGAACATGAAAAGAGAACAGTAAGTGGGGGACTGTCAGAAGGGGTCCAAGAGGACTCTCTGGAAGGTTTTCCTCATGTTGTTCTGCAGCATAGCATACATAATGGGTAGGAAATGCAGCTCAGTGATGATAAAGTTGGGCTGTATGGGGAAAGTGGCATGATGGAAAGCGTCATGGTGAAGGAGTATAGCCTACAGTAGGGAAGCTTCATAAATAGAAGCAGAGCCCAATGTAGGAGGCTGCAGAGGTGGAAACGAGGACAGAGGAGTGAGCTCCTCATTGGAGATATGCTGCATACCCATTTTTACCAAGTTCAGATTCTTATCCTCTGAGCAGTCCCATAAGGTGACATATGGGCTCTGTTGGGCTTCATATTGCTGTAGTAATGAATCAACTCCATAGTCCCAGTGAATGAACAGACTGAGTTCTTACAATAAAGCCCAAAGCCATCTGGTAGAGAGTTCTGCACACTACCTGGAACACATGGCCTCCCTGGTCCCTGCTCCAGTACTGATAAGTACTTTGGATCAGAGGTGACATACCTAGCCTACTGGGTAACTCAGTCTCTGCTTGACTCCCAAGGTCCTGGGGTCTGTGGGAATGAGACAATGAAGGAGCCATAATCACGTTCATTAGATTAGACAATTATTTCCATCTCACAGCCCAGCAATTGGGAGACTTGGAGGCATTCACTGTACTGTCCATTTTCCCAAATACAAAATGTTGTGGTTTGGGTGTTGCATAACCTCTGTTTTGAACATTCGTGTGGCCAATCAACAAAGGCATATGGAATAGTTACCATAGTCTGGAGAATGACAAAACCAGAGGTGACTGGAGCATATATAACTGCATGGGAAAGCAAATGCTCTGCCTTGGCCAGATGGTTCTCAGGAACCTCTGGAGGCTTTAACTTTTGTCTATAGGGACAGGTAAAATGAGATCACATGTACAGAGGCTTGATTGACACATCTCACTTAACTCACATTACCCCATGAGCCATTTTTCACGGCCTCACATTTAAGATAAGAAAGCTGAGTGTGGCTCAGCCAGGTGAGAGGAGAGCACATGTGGTCCTCAGCCCCATCTACGGCTTGTGTGCAATACTGATGGGTTCCAGTAAAACAGTAACTGAATCTCCGCAATCCATCTAAACCCTAGAAATGCAGTCCCTGGTCTTCCTAGAAGTCTTCTCCAACGAGGACTTTCCTTCCCTGCTTCCTCAATGTGCCCAATATGGCATACTGCACTTTGGAGACACTGCCTTCAGCCCTGACAGAAGGAGACTGAATTGCTCATTCCTATTATGATGCCACCCACAGAACTGGGCCTGGAGCAAGGCTTGTTGAGCTAATCTGTACCAAGGGAAGGGAGAAAGACATTGTGCAAAAATATCTGGTTGAAAGATCTGAATCTGGCAGGGTGGGATCATGCATACACCTTGACATCAGTGAGTCTTTGTCTCGGGAATATTCTCCCTTGTCTCTCCAGCTCCATCACCCACCATCCCATCCCCACACTCAGTGCTGTATTTACACTGACAAATCCCTTCTGTACTTCTCTCATGCCCGTGACCACCTCCTCTATCTGCACACTGACCAGGCCACTCTCAGTCCTGGATTCCAACAGTACCCTGCTCTCTGCTCCACACAAGGATTGTCCCATCTATCAGACAGAGCTCCGGGAGTTTCAAAGGCAAGAACAGATCCTGGTCTTTGAACCTGATGTACCAGAAGACCTGGTTACAGTTCATTGGCCTCAACAGAGTGGAAGGAAACTTTACATGCAGCTTCAGCCCTTTGCTCCACCTCCTTTTCATGTCCTTTTTGCCTGCAGTCAGGCACTGGGAAGCCCTGGTTATCATCCAGGCCTCCTCTTGCCTACCACCTGCCTCAGAGATCAGGAAGAGGAGGCAAATGGGACACTAATGAAATTCAGAGTGAAACTAAATCTGGAGGTGTTGCAAACAGCATGGAGTGGGGAAACAGGACTTAAAAGGTTCTCTCTGTAAGGGAGGGGGAGCTAAGGATGTAAACAGCTAGGACCAGCTTCACACTGACCCATCTTGGACAACACATTCAAGCGTGGCCCTTATCCTAACTAGGGGTGTCACTTTGCAATCTTTAAATTAGAGACCTTTTAATTGGTGGACTGACTCATTCATGCCTTTTCACTCCAATGACAAAAAAAAAAAAGAACTTGAGTAGATTCACAGCTTAAAGTTAATCAAGTAATCAAGACAAAAGCATTTAGTACTTCAAATAAAGGTAGAGTTAGGAAGAACAAAGAGAAGGAGAGAAAGATGAGACAAGAAAGATGTGTAGGAGAAGAACTGTAGGCTGGTGTCTTGAGAATGGCAATGACTGTGTGACAGGTAACTCAGGTCTTGAACCTAATGAGCTCCAGGAATGGAATGCTCAAGTCACATAGTAGTAATGGTGATGGGTGTTTAGGACCTTTTCAGATCCACTGTTCATTCATTCTGTTATTGGCATTCAGTACTTCACACCAGAAGCACCACAGGCTCTTTCTCCCTGTGTATGTCATTAAACTCCCTTCAAGTCTTAAAGGGTGGTCTCTGAAAGCTCATATGAAAAGTGAGGCTTCTGAAACACTGGGATGATTATGTCTTTACAAATGATGCTGGCACAATAGCTGTCCACATGTAAAAGCCTGGGAATAGACCCTTCCTCATATGCAAAAGTGTCTCAGAATAAATCATGACCCTGAATCTAAAAGCTAAAACTATAAACTTTAAGAAGAAAACATAGGTGTAAATATTCATGACATAGTGGTTTGACACCTAAAAGGGAGAGGAGAAATACAATAAATAAAATGGATTTCAAAATTTTAAGTTTTGTGTTTCAATGGACTGCGGCATGTCCAAAATAGGACATGGTATTTGCCAATCATATATCTGATAAGAGACTTATATCTACAATATATAAAGAACACAACTCAATGATAACATGATGAACATATTTTTAAAATGAGCTAAATGTTTGAAGTAGATATATATTCAGAGAAAATACAGAAGTGGTCAATACACAAATACAAAGGTATTTAATATCCATAGTCACCAGGGGAATGTGAATCTAAGGCATGGAGTTGCTTATGCAGCCCAGCCTTTCTCATTCCGAAGCCTCCATCTCATAATCCAATAAGCCTGAGAAAGAGGCTACTGGGGGAGAGAAGGCTGGTGTTCACTGAAGGCTTCCACAGGAGGTAAAGAAACCACCCTGGAGTGTGTGGAAGAAAGATTTGGCTGCATCCCACCCTCAGGCAGCAAGCTTCCTGTTTTCAGTACCTGTGTTCTTCAATATTATTGATGTCCCAAGAGGCGTTTTTGTTTACACAGATTGTATATGACAAGATAGTGTTTATTTATTTGTCATATTAATAATTAACAGTTAAAATGTTAAATTGGTATGTATAATTTATTAAAGATAAAATGCCAAGCTGTGATATCAGCATCAATAACAAATTTTCATGAAAACTGTTTAAAAGAAAGAAAACAGAGCTGGATAGGAAGGCCTCACTTTACAGTGTGGAAGATTTCTTCAGTAGTTGGCTCTCTGGAAGATGTCCTTGCTCTGCCTCCAGTCTGGAGGCATCACCTGCATTACTGATGGAGTGGGAAGGAAAATGATGATAGGACATTTTTGGAAATAGTTTGATCTCATAGGTGACCTAAGGGGCCTTGGGAACCCTCAGAGATCCCTGCTTTTGTACCTTGAAAATTGGTCAAAGGGACTAGGTGTGGTGGCACATGCATGATTTAATCCTAGCACTTGGGACGCAGAAGCAAGTGAATCTCTGTGAGTTCAAGTCCAGTCTGGTCTACATAATGAGTTCTAGGACAGCCAGGGCTATGCAAAGAGACCCTGTCTCAAAAGAAAGAAGAAAGAGAGAGGGGGGAAGGAAAAGAAAAGAAAGGAAAAGAAAGGAAAGGAAAGGAAAGGAAAGGAAAGGAAAGGAAAGGAAAGGAAAGCTGTACAGAAGTGAGATCACTGACTAGCCTGAGTGCTATGGGAGGGGACAGGAATTCTGGGATGGAGCTTGGCTGCTTCAGGAGGCCCAGTCTTTATGCTTGTCAGATTTCACAAGCTTTCAAATGGCAATCAGAAGCTCCTCATGCCATCCTTTATCATTCCCAAGTCTTGACTAAGCTCTGTTCAGCATCTGGCAGCTGCCATGAAAGAGGAAAGAGGTTAACACAGGATTCCAGAAGGAACTGAGTCCTGTTTGCAGAAAAGTTGGCCTGTCAGGTAGGGATTTGGCACTTTGTGAGATTGTTATCTAGCTAGCAGCCATTAAAAGTTTTTGCAGGAGCATCTCTTTGATATGTATACACACAGGAGACCACAGGCAGAGAAAGGCTTCCCAACAAATTCCAGTTCCTTAGCAAACAAAGTAATGTCCATTTCCCAAAAGATAAGGGTGGAATGTCAGGAGGAAACAGGTAGC